GCAGGCGTATGAGGTGACTTCAGATCTGAACCATAGCCCAGAGGATTAACTCCAAGACTATCTATTTCCAGCAGAAACTTCTCCTTCGTCTGCCTAAGGACAAAATTCCTGCCGAAGGCTGCTGCTTCCTGGAGCTCTGCATCGTTCTGGCTCCAAACACCATCCCCATTTGGGGCTTGCCTGGCTTTGGGCAGGGATCCAGCACAGATTCCACTGGCAGGGCAAGTTCCTGAGACCCAGGATAGCTTTTATTTACCACTGAGCACCCAGCAAATCCTTGCACCTGTAGCCAGGCAACTTGGTCCTCTTTTCTCCTGCCAACCCACGAGTGCAGTCCCCCCAAGGAGCTGCTTTAGAGCTGCCTGTGAGCCACCTGCGGATCTGACACTGCCTTGGGTAATTCTCCTCTCATGGAGCTCTGAGCATCCTTCCGTGCCCCTGGGAATGGCTTTCCAGGGAGCAGGGAAGGTATTGTCAGTGAAACGGTCAATAAAAAGCGAGAACAAGGGATGGAGGGCAGGGAGCCTCGTTAGGGGAGGGGAGCAGAGCAACCCCAAACAAAACAGCAAACCAGGCTGGGAGGTGTCCAGAGTTCTTTTGGCAGTCTGGGCTTCTGGCCCGAGGTGCCAAATCACAGCTGTGGGAGAGGTTTATTCCCAGTTTGCAGAAGCTCTGAACAATCCAGGCAGCTTTGTGCCACTGGATTGGTTTTCCCATTGTGTCCCAAGGGGTGGAGATGAGTGCTGGAGTGAAAGGACAGGGAGCTCGTTAGTGCAAGCTCGTTACCTGCCTCCTTGGCCTGCAGCCAAGGTGAGAAACATCCATATTCTGGGGACAGTTTTGTTTTCCACACTCTCCTGCCTCATCCTCCCCACTCCAGGGCTGCCTCTGCCCATCCTCTCTGCCGAACCACTCCCCGAGAGCTCAGACCTCTTCCACCAACTCTAAACAACTCATTGTTTGTAAATATTTCCTGCCATCTATTCAGTCTATTTTTAGCAATAATGCTTCTTGGTTTTTTTCATGGCAAAAGTAAAACAAATGGAAGTGGAATCCTTGGGGGTTGCAAAGGGCTTGTGTATGAGGCAGAAATGTCACTAAGAGAATCATCAAGGTTGGAGGAGATCTCGAAGATCATCAAATCCAACCATTAACCTGTCACTGCTGGAACTACTAAACCAGGTCCTCCAGTGCCACATTCAGACACCTCTGAAACACCTCCAGGGGTGGTGACTTGTAGCTATCTTCATCAATGCACTGAAGTACTTCTCTCCTCAGTCCCAGAAGGAGGACTCCTGCTCAGCGCAGGGTGATGCCACCATCCCACAGCCCAAGCTCTGCCGCTCCTTCACAGGTAAGCTGGGGGTGCTGGTGGTGATTTCCTCCCCTCCCCTGCTCATCCTCATGGGATGGTCCAAAGGAGGATGTGGGGACAAAGTGGAGCTCCTTAGATGAGCATCATCATCAGTGTGGCAGCAGGTCAAGGGAGGTGATTCTGCCCCTCTGCTCTGCTCTGCTGAGACCCACCTGGAATCCTGCACACAGCTCTGGGGCCGCAGTGTGAGAAGGACGTGGAATTGGTGGAGCAAGTGCAGAGGAGGCCACGAAGTTGCTCAGAGGATTGGAGCATCTCCCCTGTGAGGACAGGCTGAGGGAGTTGGGGCTGTTGAGCCTGGAGAAGAGAAGGTTGTGTGGAGACCTCAGAGCACCTTCCAGGAGCTGAAAGGGCTCCAGGGCAGCTGCAGAGGGATCTGTGTTAGGAGCTGCAGGGACAGGACAAGGGGCAATGGGTACAAATTGAAGGAGGGAAATTTAGGGTAGAACTTAGGCAGAAGTTTTCCCTGTGAGGGTGGTGAGACACTGGCCCAGGTTGCCCAGGGAGGCTGTGGCTGCCCCAACCCTGGCAGTGTTCACAGCCAGGTTGGCTGAGCCTTGAGCAACCTGCTCTGGTGGGAGGTGTCCCTGCCCAGGGCAGGGGTTGGGGCTGGATCATCCCTGAGCTCCATTCCACCCCCTTAACATTCTATAGTTATGTGATCATGAGTGAGCAAGTGGAGCCAAGAGCTTCCCAGCCCCATTGCTCCCTCTCAGCCCACCCTGACATCAGTGTGAATAATTGGGGTGGAAAGGGACCTTTCAAGGCCATCTAGTCCAACCCCTGTGACATAAACAGAGACATCTCTGACTAGATCAGGTTGCCTCATCCAATCTGGGATGTGGCTGTTTATGAACCCTTCAATTATCTTCTTATCAAAGAAAACCACAAGTGTAAACAGAGTAAAGTGAGATAAAATATAGTTTCACGTGAGGCTTTTTTTTCACCTCAGGGAAAATGTGAGCACCACAGCTCCCAACATACCCTGGTGCCAGGGCTGAAGGAGATTGTAACCCTTCCATGTACATCCAACCCCCAAAAACCATGTGATGTGAAATTACAGGTGCTCTAGCAGGACGCCTGCATCTCCCAACGCTGTTTTAAGGTAGTCACTGGCCAAGTTGCAGGTGGAGACTGACAAAAGAATGATGATATTAGTCCAGATCTGTAGTGTATTTCAAAGTAGAGGCAGGGTTTAACTTGTCTTTTTTGGCTTTTTCTTCCATTGAAACACTGATCTTTGTCTTCTCTAACTGAGAAGTGATCCTTGGAGTGGAACAGCTCATCCCCAATGACCTCTTGGCCACCTCAGTAGCTCTGGGTATTTCTTCATTCCTGTTGACCCCCAAAGGAGAAGATTACTCATCCAAGTTGGTGGTTTTTCTCTTCCCACAGTGGGGAACACGGAGAAGATTCGGGAGGTGAAGGAGAACCGCTCCAAGTCTCTGTGTGTGATGCCACCACCACAGCCCAGTGGTGTGACCTGGGCTGAGAAGAAAGACCTGAGGAAAGAGCTGACTTTGGAGATGTACAAGCACAAGTGATGCTGTTGGTTTGCCATGAGAGCTCTGAGTCTCTCATGGATGGTTGTTCTATGTGTAGATAATGTAAATAAGATGCACATTGGAGAGGAGAACATGGGCCGGGCAAAACATTCCTGGTTTGCATGGAAACTTCTCTTATTGCTCTTGATTTTTAATGGGAACTAAGGAAAAATATGCTCAGCAATGCAAGGGAATGACTGAGAAAGAATTCCTAAGGATTGTCTAGGAAAAATTAGCCTGTTCAGACTGGGAAAATTGCTGAAACTGCCTAAAGCTGCAAGGAAGGTGAGATATCACCCATCACGGATAGGCTAAACAGGAGGGAGAATTTAGACTATAGATTGGGGAAAACTTGGTAATCTAAAAGAGGGCACAGATCTTCTAATGAATCTTCTAATGAAAACCAATTACAGCTGCATTAAAAGGGGAAAATAGATTCTTACTGGGTTTTTCAGTTTATATAAGGGATGGTTCACCTCCAAAAATAAGATGAGGAAGCTCCAAATCCAGTGGGCATTGCCAGGAGATGAGTGTGGGAGCCCTTAAATAGATGGGAAAGTCTTCTGACAGAGTTAGTTGGTCACAACAAACCTGTAAAGATATTCCAAGATGAGCTTTGCTGCCATGGCTTGGAGTTGTGGAGTCAGAGAGGGATTGAAAGTGTCTTCTTAGAAGATGAAGCAGAGGCACCCAAAACCTCATTGCTGTGGAGCACTTCTGCCAGGAATGCAGTGATGCCCTTTGCACAGCAGCTGCAGGTAAACCACAGGGACAGGAAAACAAATATCCCCATGTTTGGGCCATTCTCTTTGCAACTCCAGATAAGTCCAAGCCTTTGGATCCTTGTCCTCAACTGAAACCAATGGGGTAATGTTTAGCTTGGCAAATATCCACATTTTTCTTTCTCCTCCTCTTCCTCTGCATTGAAGGATTCAAGAGGATTTAATGAGTGGCTCTTTTGGAAACAGAATTAAAAGAAACTGTAGAAATTCACATATTCCCTCTATGAGATTTTTGGGCTTCCAGAACCAACCTCCTGTGTGCTCTGTTAAGAGACCATTGCCTGGTGCACTGGGGGCTTCATTTCAAATCTGAGACCCAAAATTTAGGAGGGACATTGAGGTGCTGGAGCAGGTCCAGAGAAGAGCAACGAGGCTGGTGAAGGGACTGGAGCACCAGTGCCATGAGGAGAGGCTGAGGGAGCTGGGGGTGTTCAGCCTGGAGAAGAGGAGGCTCCGGGGAGACCTTATGACCCTCTGCAACTCCCTGACAGGAGGTTGGAGTCAGATGGGGGTTGGTCTCTTCTCCCAGGCAACCAGCAGCAGGACAAGAGGGCACAGACTTAAGCTCTGCCAGGGGAGGGTTAGGTTGGGTATTAGGAAGAGGGGTTTTCCAGAGAGAGTGCTCAGACATTGGAATGTGCTGCCCAGGGAGGTGGTGGATTCCCCATCCCTGGAGGTTTTCAAGCTGAGACTGGATGTGGCACTTAGTGCCATGGGCTAGGGACCATAGTAGGGTTGGACTCGATGATCTTGGAGGTCTCTTCTGACCTGGTTGATTCTATGATGATGATGATGAAATTGTGTCTATTTGCTTTGCAATGACCTGGAGATGTCATTTTCTTCTGCAGAGGTCCTTTACAGTGTCCTGACATAAGCTCATAGGGTCCTTGTTGACTTGAACGCCGCTCCTCACTGCCCCATCCCTGGGAATTCACCTCATTGCCAGGGAAATTTGGAGCTTTTAGCAATATAAGTGTGTTTTATGGGTGTATATACATATATGTACATATATATTGATTTTACTATAAGGTAATTGTAATCTACAGTTACTTTATTAAAATGTTGGGTTGTTTCCTAGTTTAATCCATGGGAGCCATGAGGGTTTGGCAGGACTTTGTGTAGGAAACTGCTCATCTTCAATATTCTGTAACATAGGACATATATAACATGGTATATAACATACATGAATATGTTGAAGTGTATTACAGTTCTATGTCAATTAAATATGCCGTGCTATGAGATCATCTAAGAGTTAGTATCTCCTTGCATCCACAACATCCTCATGATGGAAAACAGGAGATGAAGAGGGACATCATTGCTGTATGCAGCTTCCTCAGGAGGTACAGTGCAGGGTCAGCACTGCTCTCTGCACTCTGTGACCAATGATAGGAAATGAGGGAATGGCCTGAAGTTGTGTCAGGGGAGGGTTGAATATTATATCAGGACAAGGTTCTTCCCCCAGAGGTGTTTGGGCACTGGAACAGCTCCCCAGGGCACTGGGCACAGGCTACTATGAGGTCTCCACACAACATTCACTTCTCTAGGCTGAACAGCCCCAACTCTCTCAGCCTGTCTTTGTAGAATCATAGATGTTAAGGGGTTGGAATGGACCTTACAGATCATCAAGCCCTAACCCCCTGCCCTGGGCAGGGACACCTCCCACCAGAGCAGGTTGCTCAAGGCTTCAGCCAACCTGGCTGTGAACACTGCCAGGGTTGGGGCATCTACTGCCTCCCTGGGCAACCTGCTCTGGCAATTCAGGTGTTGTTGGCTCCAGGTGTGCAGCTCAGTGGCTCATGGCTGTGAAGCTATCTCAGCCTTCCCCACATCCTGTGCAGAGGCACTGGCTGGATCCTGCATGGATCCCAGCCCCTCATTCCCTACCAGTCCTCCTTCGCAGTTCTGCTCCCATAAATACCTTTCTGCAGCATGAACCGTTAGCTTGATCTGCAGAGAAGACAATATTCCATGCAGCACATACTTTCCCAATGAGTCACTATGCCCCAAACTTCACCTTCTGGAGACTATGGATTTTTTCCTTCTGATTTCTTTACAAACTAGAATAGCACAGCTAAACCTTTCATGAAGTATTTTCCAGTTGCTTAGTGGCCAAGCCCTGTGCCTAGTGTGTATTTCAGCCCAGAATACCTTTGATAATCTTTGCCAGTATCCAGTGTTGGTGGTCTTAAAATGCTACAACTGAGTGGAAAACTGTTAAATGCTCAGGCTTCAGAGCATGGCTAATTAATTCTTTCCAGGCTTTTAGGCCTTTAAAAAGTGTTAAAAACACGGATTCAGTGTATCATTGAATATTGCATGGTTCTCTGGAAATAAATTGCATCAGTTTGAGTCCTTTTAGGAGTTCAGAGAGTTATTGCTCTGTACTTTGCTGGGGAAGTTTATAGGAGGCTTTGGAAAGTTCGGGTTGAAATGGGCAAAAGTTGGGAATGATTATAGAATCACAGAATTTTAGAGGTTGGAATGGAGCTTAGAGATGATCCAGCCCCAACCCCTGCCCTGGGCAGGGACACCTCCCACCAGAGCAGGTTGCTCAAGGCTCAGCCAACCTGGCTGTGGACACTGCCAGGGTTGGGGCAGCCACAGCCTCCCTGGGCAACCTGGGACAGTGTCTCACCACCAGAACAGGCAAAACTTCTGCCTAAGTTCTAGCCTAAATTTCCCTCCTTCAATTTGTGCCCATTGCCCCTTGTCCTGTCCCTCCAGCTCCTAACACAGATCCCTCTGCAGCTTCCCTGGAGCCCTTCAGCTCCTGGAAGGTGCTCTGAGGTCTCCACACAACCTTCTCTTCTCCAGGCTCAACAGCCCCAACTCCCTCAGCCTGTCCTCACAGGGGAGATGCTCCAATCCTCTGAGCAACTTCGTGGCTTCTCTGCACTTGCTCCAACACTTCCATGTCCTTCTCACTTTCAGGACACCAGAACTGCATATTGGGGAAAGTGAGAACCAAAAACCCACATCAGAGACAAAAAACTGCATCAGAAAACTCTAAACACACAGATCAAGCAGCTGCATTGAAAAATCAGGCAAAATCTCCCTAGTACTCCCAACTCCAAAAGGCATTTTAACACATGGACTTGGGTCTTCATTGCTGTTTTGAGCAGAAAATCACACTTGTGTTCATTTTATTTCACAACTACTTAGGAGATTATAATGGCTTAATCCTGGCAGTGCTTAAGAAGCAGGTGAGGTGAATTTGAGCTCTTTTCTCTCCTGACATGAAGTCCTGGGGGGAATTCAACCTCATAAGGAACATTAAGGATCTTTCAACCTCCAGGATTATATGTGCTTCAGCCAAGAGACTTGGAGACGGGGGAGATCAAAGAGGAGCATGTGATGGAGATAAACTGGAGATTATCAGTTTAAGGCAGAATTGGAGGGGGAAAATGTCCTTATGGGTTTCTATTCCTCTCCCTTCTGATGCTGTTCAGATTGGGGTTGCTCTTTGTAAATCCATCTGGGGATGTTGGTGGCTTTTCCAAGGTAAAGCTGGAAGTGTTTGGGTGTGTTAGTCATGGTCTGGATGGCTTTGCTCTCCTTGGTTTCTTCTTGTTCTGAGGTGTGTGGAGAAAACAGGAAAGGAAGAGACTCATGAGAGAGATACTCACCTCACCTAACTAAGCAAACACCTACCTTAAGCAACCTGTTCTGGTGGGAGGTATCCCTGCCAGGGCAGGGGGGTGGGAATAGATGATCTATAAGGACCATTCTAACCCCTAAGCTACTATGATTCTATGAAACACTGTGGAACATCTTTTGGAGCATGACAGATCATAAAATGATAGAATCATTTAGGTTGGAAAAGACCTACAAGATCATGGAGTCCAACTATTCCCCCAGCACTGCCAAGGCCACCACTATCCATGTCCCCCAAGTGCCACATCTACATGGCTGTTAACTCCCTCCAGGGATGGTGACTGCACTCCCTGAACAGCCCATTCCAGGCTGGGACAGCCTGGGACAGCTCCAATGCAGAAAGGTCTGCAGATCTCCAAAGGGACTCAGGGAAGTTTCCAAAGGCAGCACTAAAATCTCATGTTTATCAAATTCCATGAAATCTTCTGCTTTCAGCAAGAGAGAGTGAAAAGGTGTTGATCTGTCTACATAATATGGAAATTTTTCTGGGAGCACAGATCAAACCACGAGGAATAACAGCAACACAGGAGAAATAACGACAACTCAGTCTGTGCTGATGAAGTCTTTGATCAATCAGAAGGTAAAACACTGACTCTGTGAAAAATCTGAGCTGACTTGCCCCAGCTCCTTGCTAAGGGATATATGTTTGGGAGATTTTAAGGGTAAAAAAATCTTCAGGGTCAATCAGGATTAATAAAATGCTCAGGGTACAACTTTCCCTTCCTCCCACCCAGGTCCTAGGGCTGACTGTGGTGGTGGTTGTCTGACCTCTGTGGATAACAGAGCCCTGCAAGCTCCTCCCTCCTGCACCAGGAAAGGTAATGGAGGAAAGAGAAAGTTGTTTTCCTTGGGAATTAAAGAGTGAATGCATTGGACTTCACATGGATGATGGTGCTGGTCAGTTAAACCTGCCAGAGATCCCAACACAGGCTGCAAAGGACAACCAGCATCATTGTCAGGCTGTGGGAGAGACCACATGGTCTCATTGTTCATCATGTCCAGACATTTTTTGGATCCTGATGGTTATTAGCATGTGCTAATAATTGTGACAAGGCTGTGACAAGGAATCATGGAATCATCAGAGTTTTGGTGGTGGAGTCACCATCCTTGGAAGTGTTTAAGAGGCTTCTGGATCTGGTGCTGGAGGATATGGTTTGGGGTTTACAGCAGTGACAGGTTAATGGTTGGACCTGATGACCTTAGAGGTCTCCTCCAACCTTGATGATTCTATGATTCTATCACAGAGTCATGAGATGGTTTGGGTTGGAAGGACCTTAAAGCTCATCTAATCCACCCCTTGCCATTGGCAGGGACACCTTCTGCTAGGCCAGGCTGCTCAGAGCTCCATCCAACCTGGCCTTGAGAAGAAACACCTGTCAGGAGGGGGGGTGTTCATTGCCTAGAGAGATATTCCAACCTTGTGAACTCAATTCCTGTTCCACAGCCCAGGAATGTGGGCACAGAGCAGCCTGTGAGGAGCCAAGACTGGGCAGCAGCAGTGCTGTGCCTCAGCCATGCAGGGAGCCTTCTGCCAAAGGGACCCAAAATTGCTGAGGACACCTTCCAAATGGCAAACAGCACTGACTTGGAATGTGCATTAGCAGAAATCCAGCCCAAATGCAGCTGACTCAGCAGCACATCCCTAGCTGGGGATGTGCATTCAGCTGTCTTTTCTTATCAAATACACAGGTGCTCACTTTGCATTTTGATTCTAGGTAATTGCAGTGTGATCTATGGGGAAAAAAATCCTTACTACTGCTGTGCAAACCCTTGTCTTCACCAAACTCCTTCAATGGTTTTCAAAACTCCCTCAGCAGTTGTGTCCAGCTTTGTGGTGGAGATCACAAGAATGGATGGTAACTCATTCTCTTGTCACTCCAGACAGGCTGAACCAGAGTTATGTGTTAGCTAAATGACAACTGATTGGAATGACACTAATTCATAGAATCATCTAGGTTGGAGGAGACCTCTAAGGTCATCAAATCCAGCCATTAACCTGTCACTGCTGGAACCCCTAAACCAGATCCTCCAGTGCCACATCCAGACACCTCTGAAACACCTCCAGGGATGGTGACTCCACCACCTCCCTGGGCAATATCCCAGGGCCTCAACACCACAACAGGGAAAACATTTCTCCGCACATCCAATCTGACTCTGCCCTGGCTCAGCTTATGAACTGATTATTTAGGTGATAGATATTTTGCACTTTGTATGTAATCAACCACTTTATGTTCAATACAAAGAGCTCATCTCATTGCAGTGGTGAAGTACCAGATGACTGTAAGATGGATGTGTCATTCCAGTTCAAAACGATGGAAAAAGAGTGGCTATGCTGGGATGGGATGAGATGGAAAAGGGTTAAT